TGTAAACTTGTTCAACCATTGTTGAAGACAGTGTGGCGATTCCTCAAGGATCTAGAACTAGAAATACCATTTGATCCAGCCATCCCATTACTGGGTATATATCCAAAGGATTATAAATCATGCTGCTATAAAGACACATGCACACGTATGTTTATTGTGGCACTATTCACAATAGCAAAGACTTGGAACCAACCTAAACGTCCATCAATGATAGACTGAATTAAGAAAATGTGGCACATATACACCATGGAATACTATGCAGCCATAAAAAAGGATGGGTTCATGTCCTTTGCTGGGACATGGATGAAGCTGGAAACCATCATTCCAAGCAAACTATTGCAAAGACAGAAAATCAAACACCGCATGTTCTCACTCATAGGTGGGAACTGAACAATGAGAACACTTGGACATAGGGTGGGGAACATCACACACCGGGGCCTGTTGTAGGGTGGGAGGAGTGGGGAGGGATAGCATTAGGAGAAATACCTAATATAAATGATGAGTTAATGGTTGCAGCACACCAACATGTCACATGTATACATATGTAACAAACCTGCACGTCATGCACATGTACTTTAGAACTTAAAGTATAATTTTAAAAAAATAAAAATTAAATTTAAAAAAAAGCTTCTGCATAGCAAAATAAGTAGTCAACGTAGTCAACACAGTAAACAAACAACCTACAGAATGGGAGAAAATATTTGCAAAGTATGTCTCCAATGAATGACTAATATTCAGGTTCTAGAAGGAACTCACACAACTCAATAAGAATAAAACAACTCCCCATTAAAAAGTGGGCAAAATACATGAACAGACATTTCTCAAAAGTAGACATATAAGTAGTCAACAAACTAACAATCCTGCAATTAAAACCACATTCAAACCACAATGAGATACCATCTCGTATCAGTCAGAATGGCCATTATTAAAAAGTCAAAAAATAACTGATATTGGCAAGGATGTGGAGAAAAGGGAACACTTATACACTGTTGGTGGGGATGTAAATTAGTACAACTTCTGTCGATGTGGAAAACAGTATGGAGATCTCTTAAAGAACTAAAAATAGCACAACCATTTGACCCAGTAACTCCACTACTTGGTATCTACTCAAAGGAAAAGAAATAGTTCTATCAAAAAGATTCAGGTACTAGTACGTTTATTTCAGCACTATTTGTAATACCAAAGTCATGAAAGCAATCGAAGTGTCCATCAACAGATGATAGGATACAGAAAATGTAGTATATACCATGGACTACTATACAACCATAAAAAGAATGAAATTATGTTCTGTTTTGTTTTGTTTTCAGCAACATGAATGGTGCTGGAGGCCATTATTCTAAGTGAAATAACTCGGAAACAGGAAATTAAACACTCCATGTTCTCACTTATAAGTAGAAGCTAAACAATGGGTACACACAGACATGCAGAAGAAGATAATAAACACTGTGGATCCCAGGATGAAGGAGGCTGGTGGAGAGGGTGTGAGGGTTGAAAAATTACATATTCGGTATGATGTTCACTATTTGGGTGATGGGTATACTAGAAGCCCAAATCCCAACACTATGCATATATATCCATGTAATAAACCTACACATTTATCCCCTGAATCTATAAAAATAAAAAAATTGTTAAATTAAAAAATATATATTTATATAAATATTTATGTAAGCTATTTAAGGTCAATATGGCATTTGTGCCAGGCGGGGTGGCTCACGCCTGTAATCCAAGCACTTTGGGAGGCCAAGGCAGGCAGATCACGAGGTCAGGAGTTCGAGACCAGCCTGGCCAACATAATGAAACCCTGTCTCTACTAAAAATAAAAAAATCAGCCAGGCGTGGTGGCGGGCAGCGCCTGTAATTCCAACTACTCGGGAGGCTGAGGCAGGAGAATCACTTGAACACGGGAGGTGGAGGTTGCAGTGAGCCAATATGGCGCCATTGCACTCCAGTCTGGGTGACAAGAGTAAAACTCTATCCTGAAAATAAATAAATAGGCCGGGCGCGGTAGCTCAGGCCTGTAATCCCAGCACTTTGGGAGGCCGAGGCAGGCAAATCACGAGGTCAGGAGATCGAGACCATCCTGGCTAACACAGTGAAACCCCGTCTCTACTAAAAAATACAAAGCATTAGCCAGGCATGGTGGCGGACGCCTGTAGTCCCAGCTACTCAGGAGGCTGAGGCAGGAGAATGGCATGAACCCAGGAGGCAGAGCTTGCAGTGAGCCGAGATCGTGCCACTGCACTCCAGCCTAGGCGGTAGGGCAAGACTCCCTCTCAAAAAATAAATAAAAATAAATAATTAGTTAATTAAAAAATTAAATGGCATT